CGTAACATCAGTCTGTGTGGTGAGAATGGTACCAGCGATGGTCTGGTACAACTTAGGGAGAGCATTGATCATTAGCAGAGCAAGGAGCTGAGGTTTGACCTCTATTCCCGCCGCGTTGACCTGGTTGGACTGCTCTGTGAGCGCATCGAGTTGCGGTCCGAGCGCGGAGCTGTCAGAGAGCTGTGCATTGAACAGCTTCTGGAAGGCGACGAATGCGCCTACCGCTCCGGGTTTCTCGTAGCCGGCTTTGATCGCGGTCCATGCGCCCAGGGCCAAGAACTTGTCATCGACAAGATGACGAAGGTTCTGCACGACGTAGAGCTGGATGATGCCCAGTGCCTTGTCGTTCTTCTCATCCCATGCAGCTCGAGCTGCAATTTCCGTAGCCATGGGTGTGCCTGTCGCAGCTATTGGTCTGGCAAGACCAGGGACAGGGACGGTTGCTGTGGAGCCGTATCCCTGGATCAAGTACCAGACGCCCTGGTAACGCAGGAAAGCTCAGATCGCGTCGGACCACTTTTTATAGTTGGTGCCGTCGAATTGTAGGATGGTAGAGGTAGCGAGCTTGGTCGGGTCAGAAGAGGATGACATTGTTATCGTGTATAAAGAGAAGGCAAGTGTATGCGTAGAGTGTTTCACGTTCCTTTGGAGTTAACCCGACGTCGTAAAAAAATTCACTGAGATCGAGCTCATATAATTCGGCTCGTGTCGCTCGAAGTGATTCCCAATCTTCTTCCAAGAATGCGAGATCGTATAGTTGATGGATTGGTCTATAGTATAGATCTTCCGCAATGTCTTCCTGGTCTAGGTAACAGGCGTATGACTCCAAATATGTATCAGAGCTTGTGGGAAAGAAGATGTGGATAACGTCATCGTCGTGGTTTGTTAACTCTGCTGAAGCGTTATAGCTCGGCGGTTGTTGGACGTAATTGAAGTAGTGAGGGGTTAATAACAACTCAACGTATTGTTCGTGTGTTGTTAATGATTCCCACGGAGTCTCTACATCGTCTATGATATTCAGTCACTGTCTGATTTCCGCAACGGTTTCCTGTTTTGTCTCTACGGTTTCAGGTACCGTATTTGTCTCCTGAGAGGTAGTGATTGTGAGCGCTATTGAGCGAACCACTTATCCCAGCTAAGCCGATTTAGCCGAGAGGTGGATAGAGTTGGGATTTGGACGAAGGGACCAGTTAAACTACGACTCTTGTTGTCGCTTAGAATAAACACACAGTAGTCAGGTTTCCAAGTAGAACTTTTCTCTGATTGTTACAATAGCGTTGTATACAAAGTATCTATTTGTTCTCGTAAAACCTAACCGCGTCAAAATATCCGTTCACGTAAACTGTGCTGAGCGCTTGTACAATCCGGGCTTTGTTCTTGCGTAGCCCTTTGAACAAGATATCCCCTATTTCTCTGCACCCTAATTCCCACTTACGCCACTCCTCGTATTTGACAACGTTGCAGACATCCGCTAGGCAGCGCTTGATGCGCGTGAGCTGCTCGATGAGTCGGCGAAGATTGCGGACTCAATCAGAGTTGAGGTCGTCGAGCTCGAGGGTCTCGAAGACGTCGAGGCGTTTGAGTGTGCCGTCGAACTTTGGTGTGAAGATGCGGACGAGGTCGGCTGAAGTGTGCTTGTCGAAGTTGATTAGTATTGGCTTCGGGGCAATTGGCGTATGTGTCGCCGGTGGAATGGCAGTGAGACGCTGCTCAAGTGTCAGCTTTGACGGACCGGCGAGGATCTGTTCGCGCGCCTGTTGGATTTTGCGTGCAGCTAGACGCTGCTTGAAGTCGGCCTTGTCGGTCGCGTAGCGCTCGCGGAACTGTTCGTGACGTAGGCGCCTACCCTCGTGTGAGTTCGGTGGGAACGGGAGAGTGAGCACTGGAGTCGGCGGGCGTAGTTCTTTGCCGCGGCGTTTACCATACGGGATGGTCTCGACAGAGTTTTTGGCTTTGCCGGAGGCGGGCGCGTAGCCGGCGGAGTGCTTGTACCGCTGGAAAACGGAGTGAGGGGGATGAGCAGGTAAATCCTTTGGCACTAGAAATTACGCAGGAATGAACACGTGAGCGCTCCATCTGCCACTAGCACGCAACGAGACTTACTCGTAAACTGCGTGGATAAACTTTGTTTAAACTGGGTGAAGGGGACCGAGGTTTCCCGAGGGGTCTTCTTCAGCAATGAGACTAGTAGAGTGGGGGTAGAGTGGCCATGAGGCCGGAGCTCATAACCTGTTAAAGTGCGACTGAACTCTTGCTTTATTCTGTGCTACAGGGCCAGTATATATACATGTGAGTCAGGACCTCTGATACTGCTATAAGACCTATGGTACTGTGAGCGTAAGCATGTATACTAAGCATGAGTAATCAGATATCGTATTACTACAAGATAATAGAGGGATCATGTGATGATATCCCCATTAGTTTGTACAGGGCAATGACGTAATCGCCCAGTTCTGACAAGACCCGCAGGATTGTGGCTTCTCCGTATTGTGACCTCTCTTCTCACTGCACCACCTCGAGAGCCTAGACTTGCAAGACATGCACTTTGATCTGAGCGTGCCTGACCTTGAAGACATTATTGATGCATGGCCCATGATCTGGTACCTGCGCCTGGGCAACGAGATCCATGACGTAGCACCCACAATCCAACTTGAAGATCTCCTTCCCTTTGCGGAACACTGCTCTTACCTCGAAACATTTGGGCTCCACGTTGCCATACACCACGTTTTGTACAAGGCACTCACCCCACCTTCCGAGCGGTTGACGTCGCACGTCAAGGCGCTGTACCCTGGAGAGCTGGGCAAAACCTGCAACCATATTGGCGCTGCGCACTTTGTGGCTCGCATATTTCCACGAGCAGAAGTCAAACGGCCCTCCTGGGAGTTCCCAGGTGGTGCTGCAGACATAATCAACAGGAAGCTAAAGGCTTTTGCCCAGTCTACAGAGAAGAATGCCCTCGTGACCCGTGCTTGTTAATCCTTTATTTAGTGCATTCAGTTGCTTGAGTTTCTCTTCCGGCCATTCTTCACAGCACTGATTAGGTGCCTCTGTTCCCTTCACAGGTGTCCTAGGCTTGTCGATCTTCTACCTCGAACGTTCCGGAGTTAACGTCTGCATCGCATTGCTTTGGTAGGTACACTCGCTGCGGCCTTTTCGGTTCACAGGTGCATGATAGTCATGAGTGTGCCTCTATTATCCTTGAATCATTGATCCACAATCTTCCAATACATTACAATTATCGTACCCATCGTTTTACAGTTTGAGTGCAAGATCTTCCAGTATATAGCACCTTAATTTGTTCTATAATCACAGGGGAGAAAATTGTGCGTCCTCAGGCTGCTCACAATGATTGATCAAAGCCTTCGATTCCGGGTCAACATCGCCTCCGGTATAGATGTCTAGCGATTCAGAGCAGGTCGACGAGCTAGCGCCATTTGTGCATAAATTCCCACCTGAAAGTCACAGCTGTGCTCAGACTCTCCGCTCAAAAGATGGCGCTAACGCCATAT